TCACCTTCACCTCCATTCTCATACTAGATGTTGTGTGTGTCATATGCTAGGCTGTCTAAAGATTTCCCATTGGCATTCGCTACGAACCCATAGGCACTTCTCTTTCCTCTCAACACTGAACCGTCTGTATAGATAATCAGATCACCTGGGAGTGAATTGTCGTGAATCAAGTGGTTTAAAGAAATCTGACTCTAGTACCATATGCCCGATGAGTAATTGACGTGGACAGGGTCTTTACTTGACCTGACTTGGACAAACATATCGCCTGTAACAGTGATCCACGGACCACTGGTGGGCCTCGAAAATATTTGACTGATTGGTTGTTGTACCCCACCAGGACATCACACAAGCGATAAACACCCGGTGACACAAAGTTCCACCATGCGGATGAGGATCACCAGTGGAGAGGTCCCAGAAACTCCTTTCACCCGTTAGGCTATATCTATGGCTTGGTCATATCTATGACCTGGCTATATTCAGGACCCCCTGTAGAAGCCAGGATGGGGCTTCAAAAAACACAAAATTGCAAACCCCAAAGGGAACGTCTTTATATAAGAATTAAAATATTCGATTGAGACGCTAAAATTGTATACCTGTTGTAGCGTCTATACGATATTTGTACTACATTATTGCATGGTGATTGATACTGCGTACGCTACACACATATAAGATTGTCCACCCTTTAAGCAGCAAGTCGCACTTTAGTTGAAAATTGTAATCATCAGCGCCAGGCTTTCAGTTTCGTGGAAAATGGCTTTTCACTGAATAGACTGTATAAACTCGGTGTACCTACCAATTGAAGCAACGAGACAGGAAAATCATGCTGGAGCCACCCGTTTTTACATCAGCCAGACTAGAATGGGAAATTTTAGCCTAAAAACACTTGAATTCATGGACTCAGCAGGAGACCGGCGCACTTATGGTCATGTTCGATGTTCGATGAAGATGATCTCTAAATGAAAAATGAACAGTGTCCTTTTGTGACATCGGATTTATCGAATAATCAAAGTCCGGTTTTTTTTTTTTTTTTTGTTAAATTCAGGTTGGCCTAGAAACAGTTCTACTTTGCGCGAAATGATTAATAAAACAGAATCGGCAATTGTGTGTTGTTTGTTGTGTGTTTTTTGACAGGGTCCCCTCCACCTTATATTCAGCTTCTTATCTCAGACATGTTCGTATGCTTACAGCAGACTAACACTGTTGCTGGAACTGGGAAACGTACCGTTCCATGCAAAGATTTTGCAGTTTCTTTAATGAACTATTGCATGACTACTGGTATTAGGCTTAAGCACTATGTAGTGTAGAAAAAAAAATAATACAAACCAAAAAGTCATTTTATTGAGTGTTATCAAAAATAGTGAGTGCAAATATAGGCTCCACAATTCCGCGTTGCCTGTGTACGAGCCGCCTCTGCAACTGACTCTATCAGGGATATAATATTTGCAGATGACTCTCGGTGTGTTAGAGGATCTATCATGATCTGTTGTGTTATCTATCCGACAGACTCCTAGTGGTTTTGAAACTTGTCATCGAACTCTCGCTACGTGATATAATATGTCCTACCGACTCTTGTTTGCTTAAAGAAAGCGTTAAACACATACAGCCTTATGGATACAGACACGAAACGGCGCCATGTTTATACCAAATACAGTGAGGTTTATTTTTGTAAACTCAAGCTCCCTTGTAGATAGAATTAGTTTTAGATTATCGTTGCAAACCGTGTGGAAACAAATTTTTTTTTTTTTTTAATGTAAATACAAAATAATGAAATCCATCGATACCCTAGAAATAAATGCTCAGAATTCTAAAGTTATTCAATACAGGATAGGCCATGTAATGTGCTGACAGAGGGCGAGACACAGCGACAGTTTGCCGCAAACAACAGAAAAATGCTTTCAAAATTTTCGGGAAACATTGTGAAAAGTGAGATCACACTGTGGGGTTGGGGGAATAATTGCTCATTATAATAATGATGACGAGGATGATGATGATGATGATGATGATTGTGGTATTGGTGCCGGTGAAGATGATTTTGAACTCAAACACATGTCACCTGATGCCTTAACATTTCCTAGCAACTTACACCTTTGTGATGCTATCCTTTAATCGTTCATGTTCATCTATATTTTCAGGTATGGTTCCTACATCAGGAAGTGTGCGACATGTGGATCTCCGTCGATGTCCTCTGTTGCACAGCCTCAATCCTTCACCTCGTCGCTATCGCCATGGACAGATACTGGGCAGTCACCAGTATCGACTACATCCGCCGACGCAGCGCTCGCCGCATCCTGCTCATGATAGTGGTTGTGTGGATTGTTGCCCTCTTCATATCCATCCCCCCTCTCTTCGGCTGGCGTGACCCTAACAATAATGCTGATTTGACCGGAAAATGCATCATCTCCCAAGACAAAGGCTACACGATTTTCTCCACTGTGGGAGCCTTTTACCTCCCTATGCTTGTTATGATGATTATATATACAAGAATATACCAGGTGGCCAGGTCCCGCATACGTAAAGACAAGTTCCAACAAATCAAAGCCAAGCTAAGGACGGAGGAAACATCGTTGGGGACTACACCGAAATCTGAATACACCATGATTACTGACTGCAACGGTTGTAGCACGCCAGACTTAAATCCAGAAAAGAAAAAGCGCAGAGCCCCGTTTAAGAGCTACGGGTGCTCGCCAAGACCCGAACGGAAGAAAAACAGAAATACAAAAGTGCCTGGCGATACTAACGGGCTCAACAGTCCAACTATACAAAAACTTCGACAGCTTCAGGTCGACCCAGACCTTTACACCAATGGTTGCAGCGACGATGCTAGCTTTGTACTACCAGAAACAGAGTGCACCAATGGAAACAGAGTGTGCACTATCGAAAATGCACCTTACTCTAAGAGTCGTGAAAAACTAGAACTTAAACGGGAACGCAAAGCTGCCCGCACACTGGCAATTATCACTGGCGCCTTCCTTATCTGCTGGTTACCCTTCTTCATTATCGCCGTCATCGGTCCTTTCGTCAACCCGGAAAGTATTCCCGATTTCGCTCGCAGTTTTGTTTTGTGGCTGGGCTACTTTAATAGTCTGCTGAATCCAATCATTTATACAATCTTTAGTCCAGAGTTCCGAAGTGCTTTCCAGAAAATTCTGTTCGGAAAATATAGACGTGGTCACCGATGATGCAGTTTGTTATATAATGTGTACATAATATGACGTGTTTTTTTTTTTTTTAACTCATGTAATTCAGCACAATAGCTTTAAAATACACAAGAAAATGGAAAATAGTTCATGTTTTCAAATTCACTAAACAAACATGATGTTTTCCTGTGCCAGGTCAAATGTCTAGATTGATTGTATATGCACTAAACAAGCACTTTTATACATTTTTCCCTTAAATATGATATTCATTGTAAATTGCTTACCCTGATTGTTTGCTTTGGCATTGTGTGCTTTTTATACAGCTATGTTGCTATTTTTGGTCTCTTTTTTTCAACGAGGTGAGATTAAATTAAACCCGTCCCAAAAGTATGAAATTTATATTAGCTGGGGTGTCTCGGAATTTACTAAATCAACTTTTGAAGAGGAAACCGGCATTTTCGGTCCCTGTAAACGCTCAGACATTTCACAGCTTGTGGAGATGGTGGACACCCTCCGCGAATAATTAGTTGCTCACTTTGTCATTTTGTCATCTTTGTAGTGACGACTGTGAAAGGCTGAAGTTTTTATCTCTAGCATGAAGTTCTCTAAATGGCACGAACACACGAAACGTGCCCACCGATCTGAGATGTAGGCTGGGTATGTTAAAACATACAACCTGTTCTATGTGATCGCTTTCTTCACAATGTTGGTGACATGCGGAGCAGATTTTCGAACACGTCGTACAGGAAGAACGCAATCAAAATCATCTGGCCCAAAGTAATGGTTCGTGTGTCTGGATACCTATGGCAACATCTTTTGACCCATGGTTTTACAATGGCTCTTTTTAATTATGCCGCCCCTGCTAATATTCTTTTCAAACGTTTGTAATGATGTGAATTTAATTTGCTCGCACCTTGTATCACTGTTTTAGAGAAAACACGAGGCTGTAGTTTTGTGTAGAAAGCGGCTTTTCTTGGGTTTTCAAACATACTGTAGCTTTTTTCAAAACATGCTCAAATTACTAGGACAGTTTAACAGTTAGCGCCCACAGAAGCTAACACTTAACTGCATATCGTCAGTTACTCACTAGAATGTCTACATACTTTGGATCTTTTTTCCAGGCTATGCCGGGGTAGTGGATAATAATCAGGCAGAATGGCTGGATCTGCATCACTAGGTGGTGATTTGATACATGACAAGGCATATGTGGTCAGGGCCCTTTGGGAACAAGCAACGAAATAAGGCACCTGGGTGTAACCAGAGATTCTGGCCGGCTCACTACACTCAGAGGAAAGGCAATATATAATCAGATTGTGACCGCGACCATCAGTATTGGAACTCTGCGCTGGCTGCTGAGGATGAGGACGGAGCATGCATAGGAATGCCCTGAGTGCTGTGATGTAAACTCTTGACTCAACTCAACTCAATGTCTGCATAGCACGTTAGATGGCAGAAAAACATGCTGATAATGTTATATTATACTACCTTTTGTTTCTTTTTCTTTGTGTTCACCGGCTGTAACTCTGACAGAAAGTTCTAATTGTGCGTCCACTTCTGGACGAGTCTTGTTCTGGACCTTTTTTTCTGCAGGCACAACTATTTCACAGATCTAGATTATTTTATGCAGACTGTTGGTTGGTTGCATCTCATGAAGATGTGCTCCGACTTCGAAGGGAATACCCCTAATATTCGTCGTATTTTACAACATTTTGTAGTTGGTCTATTCCCCCCCCCCCACCCTCCCAACAAAATGGCTCGGAATCTATGCTTGGATTGTACTACCCAACACTCACCGTTTTTACCTTATGCTAAGCGGTAAGTTACATGTTAGCAAGGCTACACATCGTAGTGGTATCACTACAAGACACAAGGCACTACAGAATGATCGCCATGGCGAAATGATCAAGCGTTTTGTCTCGCTCTCTCTGAATACCGTAGATTCGTTTCACGGATACTTCTTTGAGTTCAGGTAACTAGTATAGTTTTTTTAAAGTAGATCACTGGAGATCGTCGCTCGAATTACGGAATCTTGTCAGACACTCTATTAGGAGGCTAACGCTTCGAGGAAAGATCTAGCCAGTTGTAGTAATAAAGCAATGAGGTCGCTCCTCTTGACTTTAACTTGAATGTTAGCTTTGTAATAACATGACAGTCTGCTTCACAGTATACTCACAGTCTGCTTCACAGTATACTAACTGACTGATTCTCATTAATATCACATAGCCAATATATAAACTTCGATCCTAGCTACATAGGCCAAGCTCCTGGTTTGGATCTTGTTTCCGGGATGATAACTGAGAGATTAGTTAGTTATTTAGTCGACAAATTATCCTCATTGCACATTGAACCATGCAGTCCCCAAGTACGTGGGATCCCTTCCTTAGCCAATCAGGCAACGTGTAGCGGCTCACGACACCAGTTCTGTGTTGGCTTATTATTTTTCTTTGGCTTCCTGTACAGTGCTCTTGTCTGGCCACACCCCTCTTAACATGTCATTCTTGCAGTCTGGTCATGGTTGTAGATTCACAGTCATCACATGGTTTTAGATAACGTCTTACTTCTCTAAGAACATTTAGAATACCAGCATTGTCCATGGCTCGTCCGCCCTCCACTGTAGCTTTACCTGTAAGCCGATCAGCTTGCTCATTTCCTTGCACGCGTGCGTACCCTGGCACAAATATGAAACTGACGTATGTCAGTCAGTCCCGACAGCTTTAGAGACTCCAGCCACCGTCCTCGGATCCAGTCCTTATCTATCTTTCTGAGCATACTCAGTGAGTCACACAGAGGTGAAAGTAGGTATCGACCAATGCGAGCCCTGGTTCTTAGATCGCCACTACGTGTGGTCCAGCAAACTGCATAGGTCAATCCAACCTACAGTTGCCACTAGGTCATATAAAGGGACTTCTATTCGGTCAGTGTGACATCTTCTGTTTCTTCTTGTTTACCGACTGTAAACTCCGGCGAAAGGTTCTGGTTGTTCGTCCACTTCTGGACGTTAGTCTTGTTACAGAACATGAGTTTTGCATGCATAAATGTTTTTCTAAGTTTTCCATATACAGACTTTGATTCTTAGTCTTTCAGGTAGATGCACTCTGACTTAAAAGGAAAGACCCAGTTTCTAGGGACGACAGGACTAACCCCCCCCCCCCTACTTTTTCCCATTAAAAGGGACCCCGAGGCGGTTAACTACACTGGGTCCCAATGTCGGGCGCAGTATTTTGTGGTTGTTTAGTTTTAAAGCTCCACCCTTGCCCGGCTCTCTAGCGTAGTTGGCTAAACCGGACTTCGCTGTGACTGGGTGACGAACTCCTTGTGGTCCGGGTTCACTCCCGGGAGTAGGCAGAAAAGCCACATTTCTCCCAGATTTACGGCATTTACAATGGAATCTACGCCGAAATGTTGCGATATCCATAATACCGAGCCTAAGGGTTAACAACTCGTGGCTTCTGGATACTAAAACAAACAAACAAACAAACAAACAAACAAAGCTCCACCCTGGCAGTAGCCCGGGCCATAATGTAACCCAACCTATGAGTTGAACAGGATTCTGTGACCTTTACCCGTATGATCCTCATCCGCATAGTGACACTTTGTGTCATCGGGTTTTATCGCTTGGTGGATATCCTAGTTGGGTTGAATCTCCCTCACTCACTCAACGGAGGCGGTGAATAGGGATTTTAACCTGATGACATGATCTGTACCATTTTAACACAATACGTATTATATCCATGCTTATGCTAGTATCACTTTTTTTTTCTATTAACATTGATATATTTCATTTGTTATACTCTATGAGCTTCCATGTACCAGCTAGATGCTCGCCACTGGATTCCGTTGTAAATATAAGCTTACTATTTAATCTGTTGTTGTTGTTGTTGTACAGTTCATACCTTGTTGAGTTGGCAATTACTTTCTACCAACATTCATGTGTCTCTTGCTCTGTCATTCAGTTTATCATTTACATGATATGTCCAGCATCTGTATGCATGGTCTGTCCAGCTCTCTCTCTCTCTCTCTCTCTCTCTCTCTCTCTCTCTCTCTCTCTCTCTCTCTCTCTGTCTGTTTCTTTGTCTGTCTGTCTGTCTGTCTGTCTGTCTGTCTGTCTGTCTGTCTGTCTGTCTGTCTGTCTGTCTGTCTATTTGTCTGTCTGTCTGTCTCTATCTCTGCCTTTCTTTTCCTTCAGCATTCGCGTGGTCACCTTGTTCTTCTTCTTTGTCCTTGTATGCGTTTGCTCTTAAAATGACGGTTGACAAGTTGTGTTATGGTTTACAGCTAGGCTGGGATATATCGGCCTCTTAACCGAAACATTTGATGTGAGCAAACCTTTAATCAGTCCATCCTTAACACACGGTTTAGGGTGTGGTGGAGGTGGGGTCTATTTTACCCCAAACTTAGACTCCAGAACCTATACTGGCAAATGAGTCATGATCCAGTTGTTCTCTTCTCGGTGCGTCAACAAAGAAAGCAGACTGTCTTCTTCTGATGCAGGTGCTCGTTACTCTGTCTGAGTTACTTTCAATATATCACCTCTAAATTATAGTCTAAATCTTGTGTTTTCTTTGGAGTCTCTGTGATGTTAGCGGTTAGATGCCCGCCTGCGGATCGGAAAGTCGTGGGTTGTGTTCTTGGCGGAGCCGAAATTCCTTTTTAAATGACCTCGACCCAGCCTTGAGTGGGTACCAGGAGTAGTTCTAGGAAGTAAAGACCCCCCAACGTGATGTTGACCATATCACACACCAAGTGCCGAGTGGTCTATACAAATATAGGTCTAGCCCTATTTTCCTAAAACGTCTGAAGTCGTGAACAAGGGTCCTTTACTGCTACTTGTGTTCTCTTGTATTGTCAGACAAGAAGAAAACGAGAACAATACTTAACAGTCTGGTGTTATTGAAGGCTATCAGTGGTGCCTGCTGCTGGAGACCTGAAGATGTGGAGGACCTGATTATCCACGCAGACATCTAGGTACCTTATGACGATCTTCATAATGACAATGATGCTGTTCTTATCTTCCGCCTTTGAACCTACACCTCTGCTACTTT